CGAGATACCTTTTCACAATGCTTTACTTTTTCAAGGCCCGTGCTGCTTTATTTTTACAAGGCCTGAGGCCTATATCGGGTAAAGGCCCTTTTAGAAGATTCTGAAGTGGTGAAAATGCTGAAAACTATGGAGTACACCCCCTTTTGCATGAGTGTGTAGGAATGCTGAATATTTTGAAAATTTAGAAGTAATGAAAACGCTGAAGATTCTAACCCCCTTCCACCGCCCTCCTATCCTCGTGTTTGTGCCCAACTGTGTATAAACGTTGAACGTTCAGAATGTTAATGCTGAATATTAGTAATATTGTTCACCTTCACATGTTCAATCGGGATCTACAGTAGGTGCAGACGTCGTCGCTGCTGCAACAAGCAGCAGTGTAGGGATTTCTGAACTGCTACAACTTCGGGTTCGAACACAACAATTCTTTGTTTTGGTTATAGGAGTCCTTATAGGGACAAAAAAATTGTACAAATATCATCTATATACGACGGCAAGGCGGACATAGAGTCCTGGATCAGCGCCATGAGAGTGTACTTGGAGTTATTGGAAACTCCATTGACAAACGATTCTCTGATCTTGGGGACAAACGACGAATCCGCCGTATGAGGCTTCTTAGAAGTCCAACCGATGCACGTCGGGTACACTAAGATTGATCAAACGCAGTGTCTCAAGGTCACAACAGTGGCCAGACTGAAAGGGATCTGGAATAGACAATATAATAATCCACATGCTGTTGCGAGAGTAAGGTACAAGCTTGACCATCTCAAGCGCAGCTAGTGGTCTGGCACCATGCACAACATTGAATTGTATGTTAGCAGAGTTTTTGCCACTCCCGGGTTGAAAACGATTGCACAGTAATGCATGGATGCTGTGAAAGGTGTGGTTCTCTTTACTTACACACATCGTCTCGACAAAAATCTCATTGGATAGTTAGCCTTGAGGCACAAGCAGTGTAGTTAGCCTTGAGGCACAAGCAGTGTCGTTCCACTGATCGTGATCGGGCAGTCACGAGGGCTTGAATCCGTGAACGGCCGTTTACGGCTGTTTTGGCCACGTGGCGGCCGGGACTGTAAGGATCTCTGAGGGAGGGGGCGCGGTGCCCATCTACGGCCCCACGACTTTGATTAGAAAAAAAAACAAAAAAAAAACAGAACGGGAGTGTGTGTGGTTTAAGAAAAAGAATTGGGGAAACTATGGAGGAAACTTTTTTGATAAAAGACAACAAAAAAATCAATTAATCAAACACTTAATTCACAATACGTTCATGAATAGAATAGAAATAATACATGTATTATTTCTATTCTATTCATGAACGTATTGTATTTTCATTTAATAATAAATATTAATAAATATTAATAATAAAATTAACAATATAATAGAATATATTAATATAGAACACAATAATATGATACAATATATGAATAATAATAGGATATATGAGATAGGATATATTATTATATGGGAAACTATGGAGGAGCCACAGAAATGAGTTATGATTGCAATATGGGCCAAGATAGTGTTTCAAATTGCAGTTCGGTCAATGTATACAACCCAACTTTCTGACCATGTAGGGTGTCGGAAATGCAATTGCAAACTGTATCTTGCCCATAGTGCAATTAAAACTCATTCTTGTGACTCTACTGAAGTTACCCTTTTTCTGTTCCAGGGATGGCGGTGGAAGTGAATTTTATTTTTTTTTGCTTCATCCCGACGTTTGCACTGTTTGAGCCTGTCTCATATATATATATAAAGGCCGCAAAACACCCTCAAAATGACCCACAGCCAACGAATGTTTCGCCTAACAAAGATGGAAAAAAAAAGAACAAATTTCGATCAGCGTTCACGCTCCACGTGAACTCTGTGAACTACCACCGGTCACGGCGGTCAGCATTTGCATGACCGTTGACTGGCCTGCATTCACCGACCCCGTGAACGGTGAACGGGATTAGAACAATGGGCACAAGACCTCGTTTAGACAACATGCAGCAAAAAAACTATATGCGGCAAGAGGTTAAAAGGCAGCAACCGGTTTGTTGTGCATGACCTGCAGGAATCTGATAAGGAGGCCTATGCAGTGGACCCCACTCTTGGTGATGATCAAGAGCAGGAATTTGATGCAACCTGTTCATCTTCAACCCATGAATCTGACATTAATAACGATGAAGAGCAATTTAATGCCTTTAGGAAGTCTGCCGATGTGAAAGGACCAAACCGGAGCTCTGTGGAAAACTGCTTCCCACTCCCCAAAGGAGCCAAGATCCCAACCAAGCGGGAGGATGCTGCAAGCAAACCTTGGTTGGACCTCCAAATGAGCGAAAATAAATGAGAGGCTAGGATCGAGAACGGAGTTTGCCTCCATTGCCTGAAACCCAACCATAAAGCCCAGAGTTGTTGTAGGCCGCAACATATTATTATTATTCCTTGTTGGAATAAGGAGGAAGGAAATAAGGAGAAAGAGAGTGGCTGGTGAAGAAGACGGGCATTCTCATTGGTCTTTGCTGTTGTAGAGTGGTTCGTGAAGAAGAAGGGAATTCTCAGTAGTCTTTGCTGGTGTACATCTTCGTCTTGAAGTTCCTCTTTCTTATTATCTTCTTCTTCTTCTTATTTCCCTCTCTTCTTTTTGCAATTGGACGGCATCGCACTTTCTCACGAATGTGTACTTCAAAATTGGCCAGAATCATAACAGCTCGCATTAATAACCTAACCACCTGCGGGCCCTGGGGGCCATCATTACATCCCCCGCCGCAGCTAGTACACCTCCCCACCCCCCGCCCTGCACCACACACCCCTACACAGTCAACCTCCATACATACAAAATGCACTTTAAAGTCCACTGGGGGACTCAAGCCACAGAGTGGAATGTTTTAGTAGTCCGAGATCATAAGCATATAAGGATATCCATATGGCCACTATCACAGTTTATACCCAACCCTGAACAAGAGAAATCGTGGCCTATAACCTTATCTGT